GAGGGGCGAGAGGGAGAGGCGGGGGGAAAGGGGAGAGAGGGAAGGCGGAAGGGGAAGGGACGAAGGTTGAGAGAAGAGGGAAGAGTAGTTTGTTTTACATCTATATGCATATTCATGAAATAATCAACTTTAATACAAAACAAAACGAAGAAAAATATACGGAAGATCAATTAAAAACACGAATTTGGAATGACAGAAAGAAAGGAAGAAAATTTTCCCTCCAACCCTCCCTCCTTCCCACCTTCCTTCCTTCCTTCCTTCCCTCCCTCCCTCCCTCCCACCTTCCCTCCCTCCCTCCCTCCCTCCCTCCCTCCTTCCCACCTTCCTTTCTTCCTTCCTTCCCTCCCTCCCTCCCTCCCACCTTCCCTCCCTCCCTCCCTCCCTCCCTCCCTCCTTCCCACCTTCCTTCCTTCCTTCCTTCCCTCTCTCCCTCCCTCCCACCTTCCTTCCCTCCCTCCCTCCCGGATAATAAATGCTCCTTCCAATGATCCCTTAAGTAGCCGAGGCAGATCCCGGGGATCCTCGGCGGCCATCTTCCTTTTGAAGAGGCTCGGGAGATCCTTTCGTGTGTCTGACCCTCCCTCCCTCCCCTCCCTCCCTCCCTCCCTCATTCCCTCCCTCTCTCCTCTGACCCTCCTCTCTTCTCCTTCCCTCCCTCCCTCCCTCCTCTGACCCTCCCCCTTCTCCCGTTCTCTTCTCTTTCTTTTCTTCTTCCTTCCTCTCCTTCCTTTTTTTTCTTTTCTTCTCTTCCTCCTCCTTCCTCTCCTCCTCTCCTTTTTCTTCTATTCTCTTCCTCCTCTTTCCTTCCCTCTTCTCCTTTTTCTTCTCTTCTCTTCCTCCTCCTCATATCCCTTCATCCTTCTCCCTTTTCCTCTCTCCTTTCCCCTTTTCCTCTCTCCTTTCTCCCTTCTCCAGAATAATCTATCTTCCTATTCTTTCGTAGGATCACGAAGGAAGGGGGGGAGGGGGTACAGAAGGGAGTGTGGTATAGAAATGCCAGTGACCCATGAATAAAGGAAGAGAGAGTGGGTGGGTGGTGGGTGGGTGAGTGAATAAAGGGAGAGAGAGTGGGTGGGTGGTGGATGGGTGAGTGAATAAAGGGAGAGAGAGTGGGTGGGTGAGTGAATAAAGGGAGAGAGAGTGGGTAGGTTTTGTGTGGGTGGGTGGTGGGTGGGTGAGTGAATAAAGGGAGAGAGAGTGGGTAGGTTTTGGGTGGGTGGGTGAATAAAGGGAGAGAGAGTGGGTGGGCGGGTTTTTGGTGGGTGGGTGGGCGGGTATGTGTGTAAGTGGGTGAATGAGTGATTGAGTGAGTGAGTGAGTAAATGAGTGTGATTGACTGAGTGAGTAAATGAGTGTGATTGACTGAGTGAGTAAATGAGTGTGATTGAGTGAGGGAGTGAATGAGTGAGTGAGTGAGTGAGTGAGTGAGTGAGTGAGTGAGTGAGTGAGTGAGTGGGTGGGTTGGTGATAGAGATAGAGAAAGAGATAGAGATAAAGATAGAGAGAGAGAGATAGAGGTAGAGACAGATATATAAAGAGAGAGAGATCAATGAAGGAGAAGAAAAAGATCAGTGAAAGAAAGAAAATGAAGATAGAATAGAATGTAAAACAAAAACAAAAAAACAAAACAAGCACCAGGAAGAGGAAAGAAAATCAGCAAGAAATGAGAGAAAGGAAAATAAGAAAAAAAGAGAGAGAGAAAAAAATAAGATAAAGAATAAGGGAAAAAACACACACACACACACACACACACCCATCCACCCCCACCCCCACCCCCCCTCTTCCCCACACGCACCCACTCACACAGCAATTTTATAAACATTCTCTGAGTAACACCTCCCCCCTCCCCCCACCCCCACCCCGCGCCGAAAGATACACGTCATAGAAAGAACTCCATGTTTGTAAATATCTGCCCATTTTTCACATCCACTGACTACCTTCCTGTTTGAGCGAAGTAGGCTGACGAGGAGGAGGAGGAGGAGGAGGAGGAGGAGGAGGAGGAGGAGGAGAGGAGAAGGAGGAGGAGGAGGAGGAGGAAGAGGAGGAGGAGGAGGAGGAAGAGGAGGAGGAAGAGGAGGAGGAGGAGGAGGAGGAGGAGGAGGAGGAGGAGGAGGAGGAGGAGGAGGAGGAGGAGGAGGAAGAAGAAGAAGAGGAGGAGGAGAAAGAGAGAGAGAGAGAGGGAGAGAGAGCCAGAGAGACCTCGCTGAGAAATAACAAAATATATACTCCGGCTGACTCCGCGCTTTTTTCCGTCAGTTCGGTGTTTTAGTGTCGTTGTGACCAGCTGTCGAGATGCGCCGTCCCCCCCCCCCCCCCTGTTTTATGACGGCTGTGCTTGTCCCTCTGTTACGGGCGTGCGTCGAATGCCGTTTTATTTGTCTGTATTAACGCTGGAACTGACCACTAAATAACGTGGGGCGTATTTATTGATTATACATGTATACCTATATACACACGTACACATACACGTAAACGCACACATAAACGTACACGTACAGTA